TGATGAACCATAATTGGTAATTGGTAAGTAAATCAAGTATAAAAGTAAATCAAATACATTCTTATCCTAATTCCTTATATAAAGAATTCTTCCTTTTCTTCTGTTAATCTTCAAAAGGCTATGGAGCCTATCTCAACGATCTTTAGAAAGATTACTACTAAACACAGGGTTTACACCCTACTCTTTGCAAGAAATTTAGCGTATTACTTGCGCAGGGTGCGAGTCTCCTACAAACAGGGCCTCTAGAATAACGTTCCGTCCTTGGAACGGAGCGTTTTCCCCAGACCCTGAGCCTGCATCAAAGAACACATGGGTGGTGCGTTCTTACACACAAAGCGGCGGCAATCATTTTTGTCTGTTCAGTGAAGGACTTGAACCCATGCACATGAAAAAAGCCATGATAGCCAGACAAAGTTTTGATTTGTGTCACATCGCCTCCTGTTACAATTTGGAGAATGTTGGCAACAATATTTTATCTGTTTCTGCTGTATGTGATTGGGCATCTACATGTAGTGATTGTAAACTATAATTAAATAACCTGGATTTAAAAAAAGAATAAACAAGTTTTTGTTCACACACAGCTACATTTTAGCACCGTCTAGATGTCTCTCCTTCTCTCTCTCTCTCTCTCTCTCCCCTGTATTTACATTTTCTGTTTATTCTTCTTCTTTGTTTATTTGTCTTCCAATATTCTACATTTAATGTACATGTATGCATCACAAACATCAGGTACAAAGTTCATACAAAATTGCAATGACTACACTACTAATTGCAATTTTATTCTCGCTGTGTTTCAATACCAGACCTGTCCAATATGTTCATGTACATGTACATGTACATGTATCTGTGATTAGTATTTCTATGAAATTATTGAATCTCTTACAAATTTGCCATGACCTTTATAATCTGAAGCAGTTTTAACCTACCGGTAACCTTCATTTCTCCAGTACATTTTAATTTATCTCATTACAAGCAAAATCAGAGAATATTGGGAGATCAAGCATTTTGGAGATCGAGCATACATCTACGCATGCACGCGCCCAAAACTGTGGAAGGCAAAGTTAAAAATTAGGAAATCTACATTTTTTTTAAATGTTCTTTAAATCTTTATGTTGTAGGTTAATCTTAAGCACATCAGGAGCTCTTGCATCACATATTGCATCATGGTGTCTGCGCTCTACAGATGTATGTACATGTATATCATTTTGCATTTTGCATTTTCTTTCTTATGTAAATGTACACGATTCTTTGTCATGATATAATGTGTTCCCTAATTTTTTGAAGCACCTTGTGCATTTAATTAAAATGGATAATGGCGCTATATACAGGTAAATCTCATGTAGGCCTAATGGATAATTATGGCTGCTGCTTTATACTTGTACATGTACTACATTGTACATGTACAGACAAATTAGTTTATTACTAGACTAATTATTACTTCTAAAATATTGACTGTTTTGTTTATTAAATGTCCTTATGAAAATCTGTTCATCTTTCAAGAAATTGATACAATTGATTCTTGATAAGGCAACACTATTAATGGAAATGAGAGGAAAATCAAAAAACAAAAACCCTCAATAAAGTAATGTAGGCAAGGTAAAATGTCTTCCTACACACATACGTCATCTCAGAACATGGAATAGCAAGGGCATGACGGAAGCATTATTACATGCATGCATTGTCAATAATGCATAACGCCCGAACACAGCGCCGCTCAGCGCTCGCTGCTATGGGATAAATGATGCGAGGCAAAGGGTCTGCTTGTAAGATACACACTGAATGTACAAGCATCTTGTGCATCAGACTCGTCTTGGCTCATCCTCTCCTCTAGCTCTCCTCTCTAATACCGGTACATCATAATAAGACATACATTTTATATGATATCTCTGTGTCTTTTCCGGTCTAAATACATCTCTACCTGTGTACAACTCTGTACCTTTCTGTCTACATGTATGTCCGTATGTTGGTCTGTCTGTCTGTCTTATTCTCACTCTTTACATCCATCTCTCTCCCCCTCCCCATCTCCTTTCCTCCATATGATGATGATCCCCTCCTCTTTCTTTCTCTCTCTGTCTCATTCTACCTACAATGTATTCTATCTTTCTCTCTCTTTCTCTCTCTCTCTCTCTCTCTCTCTCCTGCAAGTGCCATTGTTTCTTTCTGTCTGTCTGCCTCTCTCTCTCTATTCATACAGCAACTGTCCTTCATATTTCTTTCAAACGGTTCTGTGCCTCCTCTTTCCTCTATCCTTCTATTAGGCCTAAAAAAAAAAATTGATGACTTGGCGTAACCCGCCCGACCCTATTTTTATCGCCGACCCTACGCTTTTTTTTTTTTTTTTTTTTTTTTTTTTTTTTTTTTTTTTTTTTTTTTTTTTTTTTTTTTGATAAAGGATTCTGAAATACTGGAGACATTTTTAACTGTTTGTTATTACAGAGCCATTCACAATTGTAAATATTTTCACAAGTTGTAATTGGCTACTCTTTTCAACCCTCATTCTTCAAGATTTTGGATACATGTTAACATGTTAACATGTTAACCTCTAGACAAGTTATAAAAATGCTAGTCAATACATTGTGAAAATACTAATATTTGTGAACAGCCCCTTCTAAACCTACATATTCACCTGTTTATCCTGTTGAAGACAGTGTCTGAGATATCTCAGGCTGGGGTCTGTTGGAAACCTATTAATGCGTTTGTATGTTTGCATTTTATGTGCATGAGGGTGTATGTACATGTACATGTATGTATGCAGGGGGGGGGGGGCAGGTGTATGTATGCATCCCCCAGGTCCCAAGGTGATCAAGATTTCAACAATTTCTTGCTCACTTTGCTATGGTGGCCCTGAAGGGACATCGCGAATAGACTAAATCGTGAAAAATATGCGATAAAATTCACGATATCGTCAATTTTATCGCATATTTTTCAAGAAGAAATTCACGAAATTGACGATATCGTGAACTTTATCGTGAACTTTTCACGATGAAATTGACGATATCGTGAATTTTATCGTGAAAAGTTCACGATATAAAGTTCACGATATCGTCAATTTTATCGTGTACTCTATCGTGTACTCTATCGTGTACTCTCCTGACGGGCGCTTCGTAAACAAAACCAGCCCTAGCTGGGGGAGACAGAGAGAAGGAAAAAAGGGAAAGGGAAAGAGAAGATAAAAGGAAAGAAAGAATAATAAGAAGAAAAGAGGGAAACGGGGGGGGGGGGGGGCGAAGGGCTCTTGCCTCCTCCTCACTCCCCCCCCCCCTCCCCGCCAAAAAATAAATCAGAGAGAGAGAGAGAAGGGAAAGGGAAAGGGAAAGAGAAGATAAAAGGAAAGAAAGAAGAGGAAGAAGAAGAAAAGAGGGAAACGGGGGCAAAGGGCTTTTGCCTCGTCCCCCCGCCCCCCGCCAAAAAATAAATAAGAGAGAGAGAGAGAGAAGGAAAGGGAAAGAGAAGAAAGAAAGAGAAAAACGAAAAAGAGGGAGAATAGGAAAGAAAGGAAAAGAAAGGAGGCAAGAGCCCTTCGCCCCTGTTTCCCTCTTTTCTTCTTCTTCTTTCTCTTCTTTCTTTCCTTTTATCTTCTCTTTCCTTTTCCTTTCCCTTCTCTCTCTATCTCTTATTTATTTTTTTGGCGGGGGGTGGGGAGGGAGGAGGCAAGAGCCCTTCGCCCTTCCCCCGTTTCCCTCTTTCCTTCTTATTCCTCTTCTTTCTTTCCTTTTATATTTTCTTTCCCTTTCCCTTCTCTCTCTTATTTATTTTTGGCGGGGGGGGGGGGGAGGAGGCAAGAGCCCTTCGCCCTTCCCCTGTTTCCCTCGTATTCCTCTTCTTTCTTTCCCTTTCCCTTCTCTCTCTCTCTCTCTCTCTCTCTTATTTATTTTTTTTGGCGGGGGGGGGGGGGAGGTAAGAGCCTTTCGCCCTTCCCCCGTTTCCCTCTTTCCTTCTTCCTCTTCTTTCTTTCCTTTTATATTTTCTTTCCCTTTCCCTTTCCCTTCTCTCTCTCCTTATTTATTTTTTGGCGGGGGGGGGGGGGAGTGAGGAGGAGGCAAGAGCCCTTCGCCCCCCCCCCCCCCCCCGTTTCCCTCTTTTCTTCTTATTATTCTTTCTTTCCTTTTATCTTCTCTTTCCCTTTCCCTTTTTTCCTTCTCTCTGTCTCCCCCAGCTAGGGCTGGTTTTGTTTACGAAGCGCCCGTCAGGAGAGTACACGATAGAGTACACGATAGAGTACACGATAAAATTGACGATATCGTGAACTTTATATCGTGAACTTTTCACGATAAAATTCACGATATCGTCAATTTCATCGTGAAAAGTTCACGATAAAGTTCACGATATCGTCAATTTCGTGAATTTCTTCGTGAAAAATATGCGATAAAATTGACGATATCGTGAATTTTATCGCATATTTTTCACGATTTAGTCTATTCGCGATGTCCCTTCAGGGCCACCATACTTTGCTCACACAGTGTGTGTGTCCATATATGTGTGTGTCCGTATATGTGTGTGTGTGCGTGGAGTTATTTGAACATATTGTGGTCTACCCCTCTCATCAGATCATCCCCAAGGTCTGAGGACCTATCTACGCCACTGTATGTATGTATGTGTATGAATGGCTAATTTCATGTATGCAAATATAAGCAACAACAACAACAAAAAAAAACAAAAAAAAAAAAAAAAAAAAATCGCCCTACCTACCCTAATTTTCAGTGACCCGTTACGCCAAGTAATCAATTTTTTTTTTTAGGCCTTATCCTCAAACACATACATGTAACTGCGTAGATCTTCTCTCTCTTACCCATTTTTAAAACATTTTCTCAGTAAATAACAATCTCTATTGAAACTGCTCTAATCAACAATGTTTATGATTTGTCTGCGTCTTATAAGAATTAAAGAGATACCATAGAACGTGTGCTGCATATTAATGACATGTTTATGTACAGTACATGTATCCATTATCAACAATGATCACAAATTAAGGATAAAAAGAAGGAAGTCTTTGTGTTTACCTTTAACAATCTGTCTTGCTGCTTTATTGTAGACCTCTTCCTGTGTTGTGTTAGGCTTGAATATACGATCAAACATGAACAGCTTTCCCTGTAACAGAGAGGAAATAAACAAAGAAGAAAAACAAAATGAAGAGTAATCCCACCATCAATAGCACATGAAACCTTGTGAATCATTACTTAAAGCTAAAGACCAGTTATGGTCATGCAATTGCATAGTGAAAGAAACGTTGTGAAATCGATCAGAAAAGGTTGATCATCTAGCATAGATGTACTGCAAGGTTCTGGAATCATCAAAATCATAAGAAATTTGGCAAGGTTTTGGAATCATCAAAATTATAAGAAATTTGGCAAGGTTCTGGAATCATCAAAATTATAAGAAATTTGTCTTCATAAAGTTAGAAGCACTGTACACAGAAATATGTATATGGGACTACACACACGTGCGCAACACATGCATTTGTATCGCTCAACAGTATATAGATATACTAATTTACCAAATATATCAATTAGTAGGCGGTTTCCCGTCAAAATTGTTATCGTCATGTAATATTCAAAACATATTCTTTCACATGATCGGTAATAAGAGCTTCCATTTCATTTTTTGAAATTGGGGCGCTTCCAATACTGGTCTTTACCTTTAACCAAATAATGGATTAATTAGACCTGCATATGAACATGTACAGTACATGTACTTACAAAATTGAAATACATACTTTGTGGGATATATGCAGGAAGCTCTTTGAAACACAATTCTGTCTCCAATTATTTCAGTTAAAAGTGAAAAAGAAAAATTATGACTGTTGAGGTGACTTATGGTAGAAAAACAGGAGGAAAAAAAAAAAATTTAATATATATTATACTAGACACATTGCATGAAGTGCCCTTTGCAGTACATGAATATTTTGATGTTCACAGAACATTTATCTATTGATTTTCTTGAAAACATATGGTGCTATATTTAGAGAGGAAATTTGTATGTACATACCTGTACATGTATTGTATGCACATGCCATATTAGATATTTTTTACAGTCTTGTTTCTCATCCTGTGTAACTTTTGTAACTTAATTAAACATACGCTGTACATGTACATATAGTCCGGCAGCCATCTCGATATACCTTGTTTTAGGGTCTATAGTTTTTTTTTCTTCGGATTATAGTTCCTTAGACCATCAATTTGAAGAATTCGATTGCTGACACTCTGTCAGCATTGAGCAATTTGAGATATGTGACGTCATACAAAATGGCCGCCAAAATCCCCATTTTAACCAAAATTAATGATATAAAAAGTTTTAACAGCATTTTACTACATTAAATGGCAGTCAAATATCTTAATTTTTTTCTAGAATCATCACTAAATAAAAATTGCGATGCTGTATGATCACAAATGATATGCAAATTTGCATAATTCGGAATGGCGCCCTCTATAGACACATTAACTTGAATAGTTCAAAATGATGGCCAAATACCAATTTTTAACATGAGATTATCATATGTCATGAGTCAGATGCACTGCATGGATACAGTGAGTAAAAATTCGTCGCTGTTTTCACGAAGTGACGGTAGTGAAAAAAAATTGCATTCACTTTGCGTTACGATTTTCCTCACTACCGTCACTTCGTGAAAATAGGGACGAATTGTGCTGCACATTTATTTTTATTTTGTAATTTTATACTCGAAGAAAACATGGTTGAATTTTATGCTCTCTGTCCCATAGATATGAGGTGGCATATGGTGATAAATGCCCATTTTCAGTGACAGCGTTAAGAAACTAGATTTGTATTCTAAGGTACTAGATTCTTTTAAATTAACCTACAAATTACGAACTACCGATACGATACAGGACTATATCCGTTTATAAGTTTGCTTCAAAATCTTGAAATTTGTTTAAAAGCCCTCTAAAGTGTTGGGAGCCCTAAAATATTCCATGCGGAAGAGGGTGTCATTTAACACTTAATTCTGCAAAGTGAGGTCGTGACTGTAATGCGTGCTTCCAAACGCATGTTTGCAAATGAGCTCTCTTTTAATAACATTTTCTACAAACGCTTGAGGTAGTTTGAGGTAGTGAGGCAAGGTTTGGGGGTATTTGGAGCTCCTAGTCTTCGGACCCTTGATAGCCACACGTTGATACGAGCCTCTGGCATTCAGTTGGTTGTTGACTGTCCATAACATGAAGCAAAGCATTGAGTAGGTTGAGTGATGACATATGACCAGGCTGCATCAACATTGCCAACTGAGTCCTAAGGGAGTCGAATCTTCTGCTTCATCACTTTCAGCATTGTATCCTATCCAATGCCAAAGTATGCCCCAAGAGTGTCGCATCCCGTCAACGCATGTCCTGCCAACATCGATGGAATGATATCTCCTAACTTGTCTACATTAGCAGGAACATCAATAACAATTCAATTTGTGAAGGGGCGTCTCCATGGTCATTGGCGTTTTATAAGTCCGTCATGTAGATAATGATCGATGCAAAAGTAGTACGTAGACGTCTGTGTCATCCACTAGGACCCTAACATACATCTTCTCATTAGCATCAATTCAAATCGCTTGCTGTACTTCGATGTTGCCTGCTTCATCATAACTATGTTGTGGACAGACCTTTCCTTGCCATGACATCACTGCCTGGAATCACTTCAACAGGAACCTCATCTTGACGGTAAAGGCCTGCTTGTGCTTTTGCCTATTTCTGAGCACCCAATCATCCTGCAGACTCGCGCATATAATTACGATGTCGATCAACTGTAGTTTGTTGTCATGAAAAGATAGTGAAGTTAGCAACACTAGAGACACGTTTCAACAACTTCTCTCCCTAGCTTTATTGATCTTTCCAAAGCTTTTGACTGCGTACAACATAAACGCCTATGGAAGATTATGAGCTGGATGGGCTTTCCAGCATATATAATTCAACTCATCCAGTCGCTCTACCAATACCTAGAAGCAACAGTAAGAACAGAGAATGGCTACACCGAAAGGTTCACTATTGGTCACGTTGTCCGTCAAGGCTGCATCCTATCACCATCTATGCTGTATTCATTATGAGAAAGGCATTTTATGGTCAAGTTTCTGTTGGTGGACGAACGATCACCAACCTAAGATACGCCGACAATACAACACTCTCTGGCGTATTGATGGGGAAGAGTTGGGGGGGGGGGGGGGGGTTGGGGACAGTTAAACCCCCAAACAAAATTCAAACTGTTTTTTCTATATATTCGATACCAGTGATTTACAAATGTTGCTGAAATGACATGATTTTCCTGGGTTTTTTCTCACTTTTTAGTAAATTATTATTTGTTAAGCGTATGTTGGAAAATGACAAATCCCAAATTACACAGTCAAGCAAAAAATATGCTTATTTAAAAGCCTACATGTCAGGGTCCGCAGAACAGCGGGGCTCAGGGGACTCGAGCCCCCTCACTTTTTGTATAAAGTATGTTGAAGAGAACTAGAAAGAAAGAAAGAAAGTGACCTGAGGTGAAATGAGGTATCAAAATATGTTCATCTTACAGTTAATAAATGCCTGAAACCTTTGAGCTAGCTGTGCCCCTTGAACACCACGCCAATTTGCGCTCCTCTCTTCCTGATCGTAAATACTTCACCCCCCCCCACCCCGATTTTAAAAAAGTTCTGCGGGGCCTGCATGTAACATGTATGAGTGGTGGTGATGCAGATTGTTTTTCTGCCCCTCTAAGTGTTTTTGCTCAGTATGCTACTGACAACACTTATAACAAGAACATCAGAATAACTACTAGAACTCTTTAAAAAAGAGTGAAGGATGCAAGTGAATAATTTGGACCCTACCTCAATGGGAAAAAGACCTGGATCATGATTGGTGGAAATTAACTACATGCAACAGAGCATGGTGGTTGATGGAGAAGAAGTTGATCAAGTGGACAAGTTTATATAATGTTCTTAGGTCAATGATTGTCAAGGAGGGTGGAAGCTCGGCAATATCTGCCTTTGAAATGATCGAGGTGTTGGAGGAAGCTACTTGGGATATCATGAAGAGATTACAACACCAATGGACACAATTAATGTCCATCATCGGAGATCAACCGCCACTTGCTACCAGGATTGACGGTACAAGCTACAATAGTTTGGTCACGTTAGCAGAAGATCAGGAGACAACCTTGACAAATTATCATTCAAGGTACCTTTGAAGGAACAGGTAACAAAGGAAGACTCAAGCTCAGATGGACTGACGACCTTCGGGAAATCACTAGCCACCCTCTAAATACTAAAGACACTCTACCGGATTGCAGGAGACAGATGCCGATCAAAAGGTCTCATCAAACGGGTCACAATGGTGAGCCATGATCTATATGACAACGACGACGACGACGAATAGTAAGAGATAGTTTCTTGGAGGGCAGCAGTGACGCGGGACTCAGTTGGAAGACTCTCGACCCGTTATGACCTCTAGATACTCTCGGATCTGTCAAACACCAAGCAAAAATCATCAGATTTTCATCCACAGCAGAGCACAACCATCAATGACTGTACAAGGTTGTTCCAGTGTCTCATGCCTGGCTGACATCTCAACTTTTGTCAAATTCTATAAGTCCGTCTTTGACATGGGAGTGCTCGTTTCCAGAATCATCAAAAAGTGCTGTTGGGACTGGTGAAAGCTCTTATGACAAAATGTCCTTGATATTGACCTCTCTTGAACTTGTCTGCAGTCCTATTACTCTGGAGTAGATCAACTTTTCATAGATTTTCGTATCCCAACATTGACTTCTTCATGGCAGCCATGGTTTGAACTTTCTTGGAAATTGTGTCATAGAATCCACCAGGTAATATCTTTTGAAATTCATGCATCTGTCTAGTATAGATGTCAACTGCTTTATCCACATTCACTGACGTTGGAGCAATGCTGGTCTAAATAAAGCCTATCAATTGAATAATAATGTGTGCCGTAAAACCACTTTTCACCGATTTGATGAAAAATGAATTCTTTCATAGCCATTTTTTTTTCTTGACATATGTAGGGTAGGTGTAGGGAATTGGAGACCACCAAACTTGAACCCATCACTGTCTGTCCGTGTTGGCTCCAATATTGATATAGCGACATATGTGGCCTTAAACAACA